GGGATGGGATGGGATGGGATGGGATGGGATGGGATGGGATGGGATGGGATGAGCAGGACATGATGTTACTCCATGCCCCAGCAAAGTCATCATCTTGTGCGGTGCCCTGTACCCTCTGCCTGCGTTGACACTGGCTCTGCTTCCCCCCGTGCCGCAGGCAGCTCTGACGGGCTGTGCACCCGCCTCGGCAAGCCCTGCCGGACCCAGAAGCCGCAGAAGCCATGGTGGCAGGATGAGTGGGAGGTGCCACGGGAGTCGCTGAAGCTGGTGGAGAAGCTGGGAGCGGGGCAGTTTGGAGAAGTCTGGATGGGTGAGTCAGGGTGAAACTGGGGTGTTTCCTCCCAGATGAGGGCTCCCGTGTGGGCAGCGTCAGCCGGGCCCCGCAGCGTCCTCAGCCGGGGTCTCACATGGAGACGGGGTCAGCACAGCCTCAGGTGTGGGACTTTGGTTTTTCTACAAGGTCCTCGACAGAAGGGAGAAACCCAGCAGCTAGAGCAGCCCGGGGGCAGCTCTGGTTTACCCAGAGCAGCCCAAGTTTCCCCTTTCTCCCATCCTCAGCCACTCGGACCCCTGCACACAGGGGCTGCACTGTGTTCTCATCGAGCCGGGCTCTGCTCGCCGTGAGAACAGCCGCCAGCTTTGGCGTGGGGCCTGCGAGCACCGTGCGTGGCCCCTCACGGGAAATGACCCTTGTGGCTGTCGCTGCGTCGCTGGGGGCTCGAGGGCAGTGTGAAGCCTCCAGCGTGCTGTGACCCAGCCACAAAAGCATCTCCTGCTCCCTGGGTGCTGCGGTGGGGGAGGCACTGGGGCTGCCCCACTCCCCTCCACGCCACCCGCTCCCACGGGCGCTGGCTGACTCGCAAAGTCCCCTCCAGGTACCCGGCAGGAGCCAGGCTTTGGCATCACTGCCCGGCTCCCCCAGCTGCCCCTCCTGCCCAAAGCCCAGCAACCAACAGCTTCCTTTCCTTCTGTGGTTGAAAGCCACAGGTAAAAGCATCTGCCTGGTCTGTTAAAATGTGGTTACAGATTTTTGTCCAGGAGGTGGCCAGCACAGAGCTGCGATCATGCCCGAAAGTCCCCTGGCCCCGCTGCAACAGTCCTTCGGGGCACGAAGGTCCTCTGCCCATCTTCATCCGACCTTCACAATCTCCAACATCTCTTGCTCCCGCAGCCTCGGGTTGGGATGCTCTAGATCCACAGCGTAGCCCCCGCATTCGCCTCCTTGGCCGGCACCGCTATTGCCGTGCCCGGTGATGGGGTCCCTCTCCCCCATCTCTCCGCAGGTTTCTACAACGGCCACACTAAGGTGGCCATCAAAAACCTGAAGCAGGGCAGCATGTCACCCAGCGCCTTCTTGGCAGAGGCCAACCTCATGAAGAACCTGCAGCACCCGCGGCTGGTGCGGCTCTACGCCGTGGTGACGAAGGAGCCCATCTACATCATCACAGAGTACATGGAGAAGGGTGAGGGCACCTGGCTGCTGCCCACCGTGGGTGGGGGCGCCTGGGGCTGTGAAGAGTCCTGGTCCTTCAGCTCCAGGCTGTTCCTGTCCAGCGGTCAGTGCTGGCTTTGGTTTTTTGAGATGCTTTTAGCACCTTTTCCCTCCCCGTGCTCTGCCTTTGCATCACAGCTCACCCACCAGCTGGGGGGCAGCCCTGGCAGGGGGGGAAAGGACTTTGCAGGCAGGATGGTCTCCTGCCCATCCCTCCTGCCTGCCTTTCTTGGGGGGCTGCGAGCTGCCCAGTTCGGTGTTGGGACAGTGACCCCACCACCACAACACCCAGCCCCAACAGATGCCGGGAGGGGAAGGGGGGAAGGCAGCATGGTGCCTGCCTGCTGCTGAGACCTGCTGCTTTCATTGCAGGCAGCCTCGTGGACTTCCTCAAGACCTCAGAAGGAGTCAAACTCAGCATCAACAAACTACTGGACATGGCTGCGCAGGTGCGGCGGGACGGAGCTGCAGGGCTGCTGGCGGGGAGAGCTCTGCCGGGGCGGGAGCTGGGGCTGCCCCGCTCGGGGTGGCGGCTGTTAATTGCAATTACCCCGAACCACAGATCGCCGAGGGCATGGCCTTCATCGAGGCCAAGAACTACATCCACCGCGACCTGCGGGCCGCCAACATCCTCGTGTCGGACACCCTGTGCTGCAAAATCGCCGACTTCGGGCTGGCCCGCCTCATCGAGGACAACGAGTACACAGCTCGTGAGGGTGCGTCCCCCGACATCTCGGCCTCTCACGTGCCCCCCCCCCCCGAGCCCGGCTCTTGGGGTGCGCACAGCTTGGGGTCACAGGAGGAGGAAATCCCCTCACACCCCGTCCTCTTCTTCTGGGGGTCCCCGCGGCGCCCCAAGAGCTGCAGGATGGCGTGAAGCCCCGGGAGAGGGGAGTAGGTGGGGGGTGCAGAGATTCTTTTTCCCCCTCCATCTCTCTCCCCCTCAGCTGGGGGGGGACTGCAGGACCCCGAATACCCGCCCGACCCTGCTTTTGGTGGGGTGACAGCCCTATCTGGTGGCTACTGCGGGAACAGACATGCTAGCCCACTGCGGGGGGTCTGTGCGGGGTCCCAGCAGCCGGGGAGGGGCCTCACCTCGCTGTGTCCTTGCAGGAGCGGGGAGTGGTGGAAGGCGCAGTCGCTCACCACCGGCCAGGAGGGTTTGATCCCCTACAACTTCGTGGCCATGGTGAACAGCCTGGAGCC